TCACAGCTGCTATTTCAGGAAGTGTTGACGCTGGATCTGGCTTGCTTTTCTTACTCTGCATATTATCCCTGAGTAATCTCACCCCCTCAAATATTTATCACTTTGTAAATTTCCAGTATCAGTCTGTCTCCCGAGCTCCTGACTTGCATATGCAAGTACTAGTACATAACACCTTAAACTTAACATCTTCAGATCTAAACCCAGAAGGAATCCTTCAGTAATTTGTCTTCACTTTAATTCATTCTCATTCCCTTTGCCTCCCCTCCCCACCCCTCTGCCCTCCCCAGTCTCTCCATCTTTCTATCAGAAAAGATAACCGTTGTCTTCAGAGCTGCTCAACCCCAACAAAGGGATCCTGAACCCTCCTCGCTCTTTAATTATAGCACCATCACCTCGTCTAATTCTGTCCCCTTTCTAACGTGCTCCGTCCTTCAGTCGTGTGGGGTTCCTGAAACAGCTATTAATTACTGCTTGGTTTTTCAGATGGGGACACTTGGAGAAGTTGACAGATTTTCTCATAATTACGGGGTTGGGGATTTTCAGTGTTTAGAAAGAATGCGCATCGTTTGCTTCTTTGAAGGCTACTTACATGAGAAAGGGAAAAACAGACGACAAGTGAACCAAAAGAGGAAAGCGCATGTCCTCCTGGTAGTGAGAGTCCACAGGAATCAGTGTTTACTTCACTTTTTGAGACATCAGGTTCCTTTTTCACTGTTGTATATGTTTTTGCTTCACCACAGGGGATGGCTTGAGACCTCAGTGTCCTAACTCAGAGCCACAGCTGATGGTTAAAAAAAAAAGATCTATTGAGATATGGTTCACATACTACACAAATCACACCTTGAAACATGGTTTTTAGTATATTCACAGCGTGGGAAACCATCACCACCATGTAGTTCCAGAACATTTTTGTCCCCTGCTGCAAAACAAACCCCATATGCTATGGTGGGCAATTCCCACCTACCTAAGTAACCACTGACATATTTTCTGTCTGTAGACTTTGCCTATTCTGAGTATTTCATATAAATAGAATTACACAATATGTAGTCTTCTGTGGCTTTTTTCACTTAGCATAATATTTCCAAGGTTCATGTTGTCGCATGTATTAGTACTTCATCTCCTTTGATAGCTAAATTATATTCTATTGTATGAATGTACCACTTCTTTTTGGTCCGTTTGTCAGTTGATGGATATTTGGATTATTTCCACTTTTAGGATTTTACTATCATTGTTTTACTAATATTTTAATATTATGAATAATGCTGTAGTCAGCATTTGTATTGTACATGTTTTTGTACATATATGTGTTTTTGTTTTTCTTGGGTATGTACCTAGGAGTGGAATTTCTGGGTCCATACAGTAATTCTATGTTTAATGTTTTCAGGGACCACCAAACTGTTTTCCAAAGCAGTTGCAGCATTGTACATTCTCACCAGCGCTGTTTGAGAGTTCAGATTTCTCTACATCCTTTCCAATGCTTTTTTGTCTGTTTTTTTCATTATAGCCATCCAGGTAGGTTGAAATGGTATCACCTGGTTTTGGTTTGCATTTCTCTGATGGCCAAGATGTTGAGCATCTTCTGTTTGTTTACTGGCCAGTCATATATCTTCTTTGGAGAAATGTGTTTAATATATTCAAATCCTTTGTCCAATTTAAAATTTGATTGCCTTCTTGTTACTAGTTACAAGAAATCTTGAGATGTTTTAGATACCAATCCTTTATCAGGTAAATTATTTGCAAATATTTTTCTCCCATTTCTTGAGTTGCTGTTTCACTTTCTGGATGATATCACTTGAAGCACAGAAGTTTTAAATTTTAATGTCCGAGCTGCAGGTTTTATTGGTATAGTCAAGACTGTTCCGTGAGGAGGCAGAGGAGAGTTTTCCTGTCTTAGAAATTGGTGAATGTTTCAAAGTAGGCAGAGTGGCAGGTCGAACCTCTCCACTTCTGGCCTGGCTCTTCTCCTCCTTTTCTTCCCCAGGTAGCCTCTCTTATGACTCTTGATGGTCACACTGCAATAGATCTATCTTGGTCTTGATCCTCCAGGTGCAGTGGCCCGGTCTCAGCATTTTAATTGGGGATTGCTATTTCTGTAACGTTAGGATGCCATCCATCTCATTTTACACCTCAATTCCCCGTTAGGTCTCTTAGGGGCAGGCAGTGCCCCTCATGGCCGAGTTGCTCTTGTCCTGAGCGGTAGCCACATGTGTGCAGTCGTGGAGTCTGGTGGCCCCGGAGGTAACCAGAACAGCCCCCCCCTTTGGAGGAGCCACCTCTCTTCCAGTGTGTTTTATCTCGGGGTTGTTAGGCCTGTACCTAGAGCTTCATGCCATCGGGAAGTTGGGCACCAATTTGTCTCATGCTTTTGAATGTCATAAATCAATATTTTATTTCATTTCATTTCCATCAATATCATTTCAACAGAAACAGACTCGGATTTGGAAAATAAACTTAGGGTTACCAAAGAGGAAAGATTTGGGGGGGGGATAAATTAAGAGGTTGGGATTAACGTATACCCAATACTATGTATAAAATAATGAACAAGGACCTACTGTATAGCACAGGGAGCTCCACTCAGGATTCTATAATAACCTTTATGGGAAAAGAATCCAATAAAGAGTAGATAGTTGTTCATGTATAACTAAATCACTTTGCTGTATACCTGAAACTAACAAAACATTATAAATCACCTATGCTGTGCTGTACCAAGTCGTCTCAGTTGTGTCCAACTCTTTGTGACCCCATAAAAGTTCATTTTGAAAATGTTGGGGTATAGCTTAGTGTTACTAGATTTTAGTTTTGTCAAGTAAGGACTTTTGGCAATGTAGCTGCTGTCATGGAAATAAAATTTTTCTTATCACGAGAATACCAAAAGGATAAAATTAAATACATTTACTTTTGTAAAGTGTCAGTGTATGGCCTTACTTTTCTCTCTACCACTGAAAAATGCATTGTGGTCTGTGGACTGACATTTGGGAACCACGCTTTACACACTCAGCACAAATCATTATTTGAAAAGTAGAACCTTAGCTTAATCAGGTATATTTTCTGTATGATGCCAGGTACCATTCTTTACACAGATTATTTACCTACACTGAAGTTAACTATTTCAGTTGTTTACAAATACAGTATATAATTCTGAATTATATATGTATATTCTAGACTGGGAGGGCTACATAAATTTTTATTGATTCTGTCTTGCCTAAATTAAAATGTCAAAGAGATATTAGGGTTTTATCATAAGATGGTTACTGGCTGTCACGTTGGCACATTAGTTATAGTAATTGGGCAGTAAAGAAGCCATAGGAATAGATAATATGCTATACATTTTGATGAGATTGTAGTTATAGCCTCTTATTTATGGTAATAAAATCTTGTTAATCGACTTGCCGACAAGCTCTTGTGCTTTCCTTTTCTACTTTCCAGGTTGGTTCATAAGTCTCCTTAGGAACTATGAACTGAGAGCCACAGTCACATTCCAAGATTGTCTGTGCTCGTTCATGGTATACACATGAAATTCATTTAGCAGATATTTGCTGATCATTCTTCTGAGTGCTCTAGTGTATACAGTGATGTACAAAGCACTGTCTGCTCTATAAGACTAGTAATGGGGAAGGGAGGTGAAATGTCTGTATAGAAATAAAAGTGACCCACCTTGATTGAGTCACATATGGCAGCCGCGTGTGATAGGTTCCTTAAAAGTGGGATATACTACTATTCAGGTTCAGAAAAGGAAAGAATGATTCCAAGCATGGGTGATCAGTGATGCTGTAAGGCTCAGAGATGGGGGAGTTACTCTGCATCCATGATATGAGCTCTGCGCTATCTCTGAATATACATCTGCGTTGTAAAAGTACAGTGAGAGGTAGATGGCGATGGCTGGATGCACTGACATGGAAATCAGCTTTGTTCTAGGCTCAGCTGCCTTGCAACCTCATTTTGTGCCCTTGAGTATATAAAATTGATGTAATAATATGTGTCCAGCATCTCTCACTATGAAAAATGAGATAATGCGGAGGCCTTAAGCTGCTCCCTGTGGTGAAAGTCAGATTGCTTGGCAGGTGTGTATTTTTTTTTTTCAGGCAAGTTAGGCCACACATTTGAATGGGAGTAAGCTCAGCTTTCCATGACTAAAAGGATTAGTGTCCTTACCAGAGTGCCCAATTTATTGCTAGAGAATAGCATATTCTGTGTAACATTTGAACTGTTGTCTGAGAGATTGCCTGAATTCCTTAGAAAAACTTCTTATATGAACATACAGTATAGTGATCACTGAATGATGTTAAAAAGGAAACAGTTGTGTATTGAGCTGCTACTGCTGGTTATGGCCTTTACAATTGTCTTTAAAATTTTTACACCATGTCCATTTTTTAAAATTGAAATATAATTGATTTACAACATTAGTTTCAGATGTACAGCAGAGTGATTCAATTCTCTATATATTTATGTAGAGATTCTCTATATATTTATATATTATTCTCTATATATTTATATATTTTCCTTTACAGTTTTATCATAAATATAAATATTTATACTTATATAAATATTTAAATTAGTTCCCTGCACTATACAATAAATTCTTAATATCTATTTTATTTATAGTAGTTTGTATTTCTTGATCCCATACTACTAATTTATCCCTCCCCACTCCCTTTCCCATTTGGTAACTATAAGTTTGTCTTCTCTATCTGTGATTCTTTCTCTGTTTTGTGTATAGATTCATTTGTATTATTTTTTAGATCTCATGTGTTCACTGATATTGTACACTACTTGTATTTCTGTCAGATTTCACCATGTCCATTTTATAACAGAGGAACCTGGGGCCTCAATAAAGTTTCAGAGGTTACTTAGACAACTATTTGAAGTGCAGACTGTTGAAATGCAATGTGCTGTTTCGCATGGCCGTGTGCTACTTTAGTGTGATGTTTTTCTTGCAGCCCAGTGTCAATCAGTTGTGTGTGTGTGTGTGTGTCTATGTAAATGTTTGTTTTTTTCACTAGGTTACTTCTAGAACTCCTGGAGCTGCTGTTTGACAAGTTTAATGCTGTAGCCGCTGCGCACTCTGTGGTCCTGGGATACCTGCAAGACTCTGTGGTGGCTCCACTGAGTCAGCAGGAAGATGTCAAATTGTATGACATGGCAGATGTGTGGGTGAAGATCCAAGATGTTCTGCAGGTAAGGTCCTTTGACAAAGGGTGCCGTCTTGATTCAGGATAACAAGTAAGAACATAAGAAAACCAGCCACCTAAAATATTTCCTTACTCATAAACAGAGTGAGAATGTAGTGTTTCTATTTAAAGGTGATCGTTGCTGATGTTATGGAGTTCTGTCATCTTCAAAATACCTTTAAAACAAAGTTTTTTTGGCCGGACTTTAAAATTGGGACATTCTTAACATGTAGCAATCAGGTATCTATAGTATTTGACTTCCTGTTGTAATGTACATTACTTCGCTGGAATTAGTCATATGTTTATGTAACAGTGTGAAAATATTCTTAAAACACTGTTTTTAAACATACATGTAGCTTAATTTTATGACCATTTTTCGTAAACTCAGCTCTTGAATATGTTGGGGTAAAAGACAGGTCAAGAGCTTATATTAAGAGATGAAGATAAACCTGTAAAGTATAAATGCATCACTTTGATTTGTTGATGATCGGAGCAATGATATTAGTGTTTGGTGTGATGCTGCAGAGGTGGTATTTAGAAATTTTATTATATTTTCTCTCCATGTGCCAGGAAAATGTATTTGATTTGGCCAAATGAAAATGAGAAATACAATTAAAAGTTAGCTGAAAGAAATTTGACATAGCTCAATAGAAGTGACTTGGTTAGACAGCATCTACTAATAGGAAAAATAATAAGTATATACAGGGAATTGAAAAATGTAACTGTAGAAATGAAATTATTTGCATGGCAAATAGGAGTCTTTGCAGGAAAAAATAAATCATGAATGTAAATTGTAGTCGTTTTCGAGAGTATAGGCATGCTCTTGGTGGATTGATCGATTCCTGGTTATTCATTCATTAGACAGTTTTTTGGATGTAGTTTGTGCTTTATTGATGGTTCAGGAGAAAGAATATAGATTGCAACTATATTCCGTGAGTTTGTTTCGCTGCTCTGTTGATTACCATGCAACCATAGTAGGTGCTTGTTGAATATTTGTGTATGAATAAAACATCTTTATTCCTTGGAAACTGGTTATTTAATATTTTATGTCTTGGTTTGTTCATCTGTCATGGAGATATAAGTTTTTCAGATTACATGCTTATTTTAAGGATAAGACAGTAGACTTTTTAAAAGTAATTTTTATTGATGTATAGTTGCTAAGATAATAGATTTTTAAAGCTGTTTCAAAAATAGTTAGAATTAAATTCATCTAGTTCTGTCCATGATGAGGTTACCTCCTACCCAAAATGACTTGAAAACTGGATGGACTCAGGTAATCAGCATGGTTACTTGAGAGAAGAGACTACATGAGGTCAGTTTCACGTTCATCCCAGCTTCTTCTCTGGGGATGCTTTCCAAAGTGTGACGTAGGAAAGTGAACAGACATCAGCAGACTCTAAGCAGATGAAGCAGAGGTCAGGTTTCAGGGATGTGGGGGCAGCTGCAGTTTGTGGATTAGGATACCAAAGGAGAGGGGATTGCAGAGTGAAGGAGCCCCAGAAATCTGAAAAGAGTGCTGTTGAGCCTTTGGTCAGAGATGAAGTTTCACACACTCCAAGGCGTGGCAGATAGCTGTCCTGGGACCGTGAGCTGAATGGAAATTGCACAAGTTGCCACATGCCAGCCAGCATTGGAGCTGAGACCAGTCAGTGTAAGGACAACTTGGTGAACGTCCTGTGCTTTCAGATGTGCCCAGAAGGGTTGTTTTAGGACTTAGGCTGTTCTAGCTGTATAATAAGGGATACTATACTTCCACATAATAAAGCTCCAAACCAGGTTTCTATCGTGTTAGCCTGTCCACTCGTGAATTAACCGCCTGCCAGAACGAAACTGACTCTAAAGTAACATAATCTGGATCCTCAATAATGATTCACCACCTTGTCCAGCATACAATTATTATACTTGCAAAAAAGCTGAAAAATATGACTCATCACCAGAATTTTAAAAATGTAATAAAGATTAATGCCTGAAATGAAAAATATACCAGATGTATTTAGCCACAGATTGCATGCTGTAGAAGAAAGAATCAGAAAACTTAAAGAAAAATCTATCGAAACCAACCAAAACTAAAGTACAGGGAGAAAATAGACTGAAGAGAAAAATGAACAAAGCCATAATGTCCTATGGAACAGTATCATGGAATCCAACATTTGTGTGGCTGTGTGGCTGCGAGTACAGACAGCGGGGAGAGAGATTGGGGCAGTTAGTTATTGGAAGAAGCAGTGACCCTAAATTTCTAAATTTGTTGAGAAACATAAACCCACAGATACAAGAAGCACAACAAATCACAATGAAGATTGACACAAAGAATATCATACCTGGACATATGATCATCAGGTAGCTGAAAAGCAAAGAAAAAAATCAAGGTAGCCAGAGGGAAAAAGGACACATTGCCTATAGGGAACCAGTGATAAAAATTTTTTTTCACTAACTTCTCATCAGAAATAGTACAAGCCAGAAATCGGTGTATATCATCTTGAAAGGTCAGGAAAATTTACCTCTAGTTTGATATCTAGTCCCATCCTTGACCTTCTGAATAAGAATCACTGTGGATAACCACCGGATTTTGTGGTTGTTGTTTCGGCTCCTAAGATGATTAATTTGTCTGAGATCTATAATTGGGAACTGTTGCTTTGGGCCAGTGGTTCTCAAAGTATGTTTCTTGGACCAGCAATATCTGTGTTACCTGAGAGCATGTTAAAAATGCAGATTTTTATTCGTACTTCATAGTTACTGAATCAGAAAGTCTAGGGGTGTGGCCATACATTCTGTATTTTAATAATCCTTTCAGGTGACCTATATGCACGTCCAAGTTTGAGGACCTTTGTTTTAGGTGATACTGGCCCATTGTGGATTTTGACTGGTGTGTGGTGAGACGAAGTTGGTTTAATATGGTAGCGCTGAAAGGGCTGGATGTAGAGGCTGGAAACTAAGGCAAGGCTACTATTAGTATTTTGTAGGCTAATGGAGAGTCAGTGGGTTATATTATTTGGAGATGTTGTCTTATAGTGGAGTAAACGACAGGCTTTCATGGAAAATGTTAGAGGAGTACAGTGAAGAGAGAAAGATTTGTAAACCTTTAGGAGTCTTTTGGAAACTCTAAAACCATCTAGTTGACTTTTGCTGCTTTTTTGTATGACAGATATTTAGTGACATTTTAGTGTTTAAGCTGTTGGGGCCAACTGTGTGCTCTCATCATCTGTCACCCCCTTCTCCTGCTCTCGATCTTTCCCAGCATCAGGGTCTTTTCCAGTGAGTTGGCTCTTCTCATCAGGTGGCCAAAGTATTGGCGCTTAGAGCCAAGTTAGTTTTCTTACACTTGTTGTGGAATGCTCTTTAGGTTAAGATCATTCCTGGAGAACAGACAAAGTTGAGAACCATAGATGCCTGCAGTTAAGCATGTACCTGCATGAATGACGGTGATGGGATCATATAAATGGAGTTTCAAGTGTTTAGAGTTCGAATTTCAGTGTTTCTTTGAACAGAAAGTGTTTCTTGCTGAAAAATTGAAATGCTCTTTTGTGTATTAAATCTTGGAAAAGAAAACAATTTTTGATCATGGAGAGACTTTGGCAGCCTTTCTCCACTGGAACCTGGGCTGTCCCCGGCAGGCAGAATGTGTCGTGTAGTTGGAAGGCTCATTTGTCTCCGTGTGTTTGTGCCTGGAGACAGCCGTGTGTGGAGACAAGGCTGTAGCTATCACAGTAACAGGGTGTCAGCGTTTTCTCCTGGTGTCGGCTCTGTGACCACACACCGCTGAACTTCCTTTTCAATTTTACACTCTTTTTGAAACTGTGATAATAGGAATACATGCTTTTGTCCCTCTGAGCAGCAGCAGCACCTTCCAAAATGTCACCTGCTTGATGACATGCCTGTCATACCGTTGACTGCACATTTTCAAGTGTATCAGACTGCGGTACCCTAGAAATACAAAATACTCCATTTCTTGTGGGATTTAACAGAGGAAATAAGAGGATCACTTTGAACAAACATATCTTTCAGGTGTTTTGATTCTGGAAAAAAAAAATCTAATTTTTTCCCACATCGCTTTTCAAAACAAAACTGCTTGCTTTGTCATTGTTGGCTTATGTGTGTAACCAACCCCTGAATGTACAGGTAGGGTTGTGCAGATGGAGGCAGGGGGTTGTAATTACACTGTCGAACCAGTGGCTATGATAAACAAGAACACTTCACTTTACAGTGCCCCAATCTCTTTTTCGGGAAATGAACAGAGACAGAATGGAACATTATCTTACTTTTGCTAACTGCCACTGAAATGTTTAAATAGTGATAAAACTACCCTCATGCAGAGAGAACTTGAAGTTTGCCATCAGATATGAACATCCACAAATCGTATTGGTACTGACCCATGACCTGGAAGGTTTTTCAAGGAGACGAATGCAATTTCTATTTTGAATCCACGTCTGAAACTAGGTTATTCTTAGATTTTTATTTCATTTGATATTTTGGTTAGCTGAGGATTCCATTCACCTTAAAGGAAAACTAGGTTCCCCTCCTGCCCCCAAGTATTTTAGGCCGGATAACTTGTGAGATTATTCTTGCAGAAATCATTTCTCTTCATTTCTCAGCCTTTAAAGCTCTTTGATAGCCTCTATTTTGAGTGGCATATTAAAGACATGCTGTCAGCCAGGCCGTTGAATCTTCAGAAAGGTGCTAGGATGTTTGTTCTGTCTTGTCAATGGATAGTGTGTTGCCCGATGAATGGAATGCAGTTAACATGTGAGAGTTAAAGTAGAAATCTTCCTCTAAATTTAAGTCAGTTCCATAGCCTAGGACTCTCCGTAGGTTGTTTTATGTTCATTACTGAAAGCAGGGATTGCTGGGCAGCCAAGGAGATCCCTCTGGTTCCCAGTGCATTTATGACAGCTGCACAAGTTCAAGGTTCCGTTACAGCACCGAAGAGTCATATGTAGAACTCTGCTTGCCCTGGCCCTCTTTTAAAATGTTTCAGTCAGTGATTTAAATGCCTACCTTGGCTTGGACTTT